TCTTTGCCTGGTTTCAGTATCAGGGTGATAGTGGCTTCATAGAATGAGTTTGGGAGTATTCCCTCCTTTTCAATCGTCTGGAAGAGTTTACATGCATTGTTGATAAACATTTAAAATAGAAAAAGATCTCTCTTATATTCATTGTTATGTAATAATTAAGTTAATGTGGCCAATTCAGTAGAAGGCTCAGAAAGTAATACAGAAGAAAAAAGTGTTTGAAATACTGTCCAGTGCTGTGCTGGAGTACAGAGAATAAAATATCCCCTGGCCTTACCGTATATACAGCACAGCAAACATATACATATTATATACATGTGAAATACTGTAAAATTTCGCTAGTGTCTGATTATACAACTTAACCATATAAGATTATTAAACCAGAGGCTTCATGTACTTTGGGGAGATTCATGGGCTAGAAAGTGAAATCAGTAGTAAAAAGGGTAGGAATCTGATTGGGGACCCCTTTCCCCCTCCTTCCTCACAACGGGAAGTTGTTGGCAGATGAAAAAAGTTTTTATGGGTATCACAGCGTATCACAGAGAGACAGCAGCATCTCACTGCAGGGAAGCTGTGTTACACAATTTAGCTTTTTTAATTCCAAGAAACCTAGCAATTAAAACCGAGTTATGTAGTATTTCCTAGACTGGTGACTACAGTGCTTCATTCCACATGAAAATTATAAAAATGTTTATTTTGTCAATGTTTGTATGACTTTCGCTTCTGTGGTATAAACTTTCACTGGTCTTTTTTGGCATGATCTCTTGGGAGGACCTAATTTGACAGATCTGGGCATGGGCATCATTTTGAACGTAATGACCACAAAGTACCCATGGGTAAAGGCTGATGCCCCTTCAGTGTTCAGATGAACTATTTTCCAAACAAGTGCTTAGTTATAATTTAATATTGCAACCCCCCAATCCATCCATCCATCCATCCATCCATCCATCCCACCTAATCTATATAACCTATGTATCTCACAATGGCCTTTCCTTATCTCACTGTTTTCTCTAGTAAACCTCCTGAGATTTAGTACTGAAAGTATTTTCATTTGATGAAAATTAGGTATATTTGTCTAGATAAGCAGTCTCCAAACTGGGGCATGCACACCCGTAGAGGGGTGGATATAAGATTTCCCATGGGATACACAGGCACAGATGGTTTGAAGGGAATCAATTTCTAGTTCCTCAACTTTCATATGTTCTCTTGCCTGAAACAGATTTGCCTGAGAACTCTCCTGTGAGTTTTTCTTTCTCACCTCCCCCTTGCACACTCTTGTTCCACTAGACAGAATCTAACTATGGGGCTTTACCTCGGGGTATAAAAATCTCTTGAGAGCCAAATAAAGGGACAATTCAAGGTACTGATGTGATGCTAGAAAGGGAATGCCTAGGTATCAAAACGTTTTTCAGGGCAGGTGGTTTCCAATTCATTGCTTTCAATAAAATGGAAGGAGGATCTAATCATGTTGTCAATTGATAGATCATTAAAAATAAGTTCAGTGATAGATTGTTAAAATGATCTTTTAATGACAGCCTATAAAAATAATTCCTAATAATAGATCACTCTATGAATTTTGTCACATAACTCAGAAAGAGTTCAAAGATCTAAATGACATTGTTAAAACAAAACTCTTTCCCCATCTGTTTTCTTATGGAAGTAACATTTCTCAGAGCTTCCATTTATAAAAACAAAAAATTAGGATAGAACTGTTGATAAATTCTGTCTCATTCAGGAACAAATAATATATATCCATATATATGTGAGCTAATTCAGGGGGGGTGCCCCATCGACTTCATTAAAGCTATAGTTCCTATTTCTAATAAATTTGGTTTTTAATACTGCTTATTAAAATTTATAATTTATAAGTTTAATAAGTGTTTTAATAATATTTGTAATAACTCAATGCAGATCAATTTTTTAAGAGCTGAGCCTTATGGTCACAAGAAACTTCAACATTTAAATAAACATACATATTTTTATTGTTGAAAACAGTGTAATAGGGTAATCAATTTTCTAAAGTTAAAATTGAGTAGGGAAGGGAGAATGAAAATCTAAATTCAAGATGAGAAAGGAACAAAGAAAATTTCAAATGTTAAAAAGCTTTTTAAGGCATTTTTTAAAAACAGAAAATGTGGAGTACCAATTCACTTCAAATTTAGATACTACTAGATGTGTATTTAAAATTTTGTACACGATGCCAGAAATTATAACCTCTGCAACCATTTACACTTGTGATGATGTCACATTTAAACTTCCAAATGTCAACTTGACAAATGTGAGAAGGTACATGGTTTGAAACAATTATTTTAGGGGATGCAGGAGCGAACAGTCTGATGACCAATCATCTAGAGCATGGAAGAAAACCATGGCCCGCAGGACAGATCTGGCTTGTGCCTGGCTTGGTACATAAAGTTTTATTGGGGTGCAGCGACGCTCACTTGTTTACACAATGCCTGTGGCTGCTTTTGTGCTACAACAGCAGAGTTAAGTAATTGCGTCTGAGATCTTACGGCCCGCAAAGCCTAAAACATTGACTATCTGGCCTTTTACCAAAAAAGTTCACCCATACCTGGTCGAAAGGGTTACAATTTCTGAATCCATTTAATTAAGATTTTATACTGTAGGATAGTCATTGTCAAGTTTTAAGACAAACAATGATTCTATATTTCAGAAATCATTCTTTAAGTGGCTTAGCAAAAGAGTTTTTTTATTATTTTCCTGACTCTTAAAACTTTATCAAAGGGGGAATTTAATTTTTTAAAAATATATAGTAAATCATATCTGTTCAATGCAAAACAAGATTTAGGAACCAGGGTGCTAATTATCTTTCATAGAGATAGTTACTGCTTAGATCTCTGCTTATATTTGAGGAAATGACAAATGACTTAGTTCTGAGCTTATATTTAGCTCATCTTGATAAATCTTCTGCAAATGGTGACCATTTTGCTCACTATTGAAATACTGGTATCAGAGACAAAAAAGGTGACATGCACATAGGGAACACCTTCAGGTTTTTTTTTTTTGAATATCTTGAATTTTAAAATACTAAATTAGCTTATTCATAAGCTTTATCTAAAAACTTAAAAATACTAACAGATTTATTTGTGCCAGGAAGATTTGACAAAATGTAAGCCAGACATCCATGCCACTGGCATATCTCTACAGCTAGGCAGTTGAGTTTTTTATTCTAAAAGTTACTGAATAGCATCTTTAATACGAAGGCTCAACATTCTTAGTGGAGCCACATTTGAAATCCTCACTATAGGATGAAAAATGCTAAACTAGAGATTTCAACTAACCTACTGAAAGAACTTAACAGCAATTAAATCTAAGTTATCTGCTGCACATGCTCATTTCATCCCAATGGCTCTTTCTGGTCTCCTTTTTTTTTTTTTCCTCCCTGAACAAATTTAACCTCCAATGGCAATTTATTGGGCTGTAGGACCCTAGGAAAATGAATACAAATATCTTAACATTGCCATTGGCTGGGCAATATATTTCAACTTTGAAACTGCTCTGCAATTGCACATTAATCCCCTCAGACTGAACGGATGGTCCAGGAAGAAAGGATTGATCTCCTTTAATGATGAAACCCTGGCACTACAGTTTTATTTCTCACAACACAGTGCTGCTAAGAACCCCACTGTTATTATGAAAATTTCCCTAGCAAAGGCGCTCCATCACATTACTGGTGCACCAATCCATCATAACGTGCCTCGCTCCTGCTCATCAACAAGTCTGAGTGATGAAAAGATCCAATATTATCCTGACAGTACTTCATGCGCATTCTCAATCACACATTATTACAGCATCCATATTAATTTTCAGTGACACGCGTCCTAGGCCTGTTCAAATTAGGCAAACCAACGAGGGGGAGTTGATGAAATACCAGCATAGCCACAGCTCATTGCATTCCAATTTGCATGCAAATGGTTTATCAGGAAAATTCCATTCCCAGCAACCAGCAAGTGAAAAACAACTGTAATCTACACTTCAGGGCCACCATACAGAGCTTAATGAATCGCAAAGAGAGAAGGAAGTGACAGACCTATGAGAGGATCGATTTCCACTGGCAGCTGGTATGGCTGGTCTGGTACAGCACCTTGATGAGCTGGAATTCACAAAAGATAAAAAAAAAAAAAAGCAAGCATTATTTCTCATATACTAGGCTACATTAAAATGCCTAAGTCAAATCTCATATAGAATTGTTTCCAACCCCCAAACTCTGTCTTGTATGGTTTTGTGAAATTGAAAGAAAAAAAAATCCAGGTGCTTTTGTGGCTAGCTTATTAAACATTTATTTTAGATTAGTGCTGTTCTGAACATGTGCCATCAGCAGTGGCTGCAGTCCTGGGCCATAAGCTATAGCAGATGCTTGACTGGCAACCTCTGATGCTGCAACAAAACAAAATTAAGTGGTAAAGCGCGCTGAAAACAAAATGTGACAACCATCTGCTGACTGTAGCAAATACTATTTTTTTGTTACTTCTTAAAAAGGCAGTTTTGAATGCTGCAGCACAAAGGAGCCACAAAAACGTCAATTTATGATGGAGAAAGGGAAAGCTCTAAGTCAAGGAACATTTAATGTTTCATCCATCACTTCAAATCAATCAATTGAAAGTTTGAATAAAAATAAAGAAAGCTATCTGCAGATAAATGTTTCAGTTAAATGCATTTGGCTGAAATGTTTTCTTAAAGGTCTGATTGAGGTTTTTTTTGAAAGTTTTATTAATATTTAATATCTCCATGGTTTCCACTTTAAAAAAAACTCTGAGAAGCAAATCAGTAACAAAAATCAATCCATAATAAGAATAGTTTAATTCTCAAAATGGTTCTAAGAATCAGGCATACTTATTTTGTAACTGAAAAGAGATTCTGTAGGCTGTTTCCCTGTGAAAGGTAGAAGGACTTTAGGTAGAGAGGAAGGAAGGGTATTAGGAACCAGGAGCTGCCACTGGCTAGCTGTGAAACTTAAGGGAAATCACAAACCCCAAAATGAAGAGTGTGGAATAAATGATCTTTTCAGCTTTGTAATTCTCATAGTTAAATTCTGGGCCCTTCTCCAAATTATTTTCCTCAAATGACTCAGCCATTCACCCTGGTCAGTATCTGCCTTTTATAGACTCATAAGCATTTAAACTACTGCTTGGTTGGCATCAGAGCTCTGCTTAATAGCATGCGATTTTAAGAACTCTTTCTCACTGTCCTTGAGGGGCTGAAAATAAAAATGGGATCCATTCCAGTGATTTCATTAGAACAGTTTTAAATTTATAATGTCAGCATTTCCCCTGTTAGTAAATACCAACTTTTCAAGGATGTTTGGAAGATCATTAATTCTGATAAAATATCTAAGTACAATACCAGCACTAAAAATTATAGTTGAGTATGTACAAGAAATTAATGTAGCTAAAGAGCGGAAGCCATGTAACTCACTCTTACTGAATTGTCTTTGCCGATTACCATCTCTATGTCTCTGAGAATCTGGGGTCATAGAAACATTAAAACCAAGCTGTGGTTTAATGTCAGTGAAAGAGACTTAGGAAATTAACCGTCTTTGGTCACTCCTCAAATCCCAGTTCTGCCACTAACTGCCGGTGTGACCTTGGGCAAGTTATGTCGTCTTGGTGTTTCAGTTTCCTTATCTATAAAATGGGTTAAGTTAAACCACATGAGCCCACCATACCTGACATTTTAACCTATAAAAATGGCAATTTCATATGTACAGAACCTACATCCTAAGGTTGTCGAGGGGGTTCAGTGAGTCAGTACATGTGAAGTGATTAAAACAGTAGTTAGAATCTAGAAGACGCTCTATAACATAAGCTGCCATTATTTAATTTTTTTGGAGATTCTATAGGTCCTTTGAATGAGACAGGAAGGATAAAGATTTTTCCCCCCCCTAAATCAGGACTCAGACACTACAGTGACAGGAGCTAGCTGTCTAAGGAACAAGCTCTGGAAATCACAAAATCTCAGAAAAGAACCAGACTCTAAACTTAAAAAAAAAAAAAGTGTAACATGAATTTGATAGTCATTGAAGAAAAACTTAGGGAGTTTTGACATTTGTTTTAAATCAAGGCATACTGACAGGTAAAGGCAGTACAAGATAAGATGAAAGATCAGATGTAAGTAAACATAACATTCCTGAAACAAGGCATAGATTTAATAAAATGGAAGCTTAATATATTTAGGTGGAGGTGTAGCTGAGAATTCAAGATCGCATTGTAGGAAGATAATCACCTGTGTATTACCACATGTTATCACTCTCTGTATTTATCTGGTGAAGAGTTGCTGTGCTGTACTGTAAAGCCAGAGGCTCGGGACAGAACCACTAGTGACCCAAGGTAGAGACCTAAAGAAGGCTCACTGGGGAGAATTCTAGGCAAAGAACTGGCAAAACACATTCAGTCTCCCAAGCTCTTATCTTACAGGAAAGTGAGCTTGGGCTCAGAGTAGGTGGATATACTATCTGTGGAGCTCCAGCAGAAGGATGCCACCCCTAAAGCACTTTGCAGAGCTTTAGAAAAACTGGAAGTAGGGAAAACAACAGCTGACACTCAAGTGCTAAGGGAAGCCAGCCTTCTAGGCAGGGAAATGGGTTTGCTCCAAAAGGGAGTGTCAGCAGCGCAGCCATCAGTGCTGAGGAGGGGAGTCTGACAACTGAGCATCAGCTGGAGACCTGGCAGCCCTCTGCTTGTGCTCAGTTCCTGCTGAGCCAGCTCCTGCTGGGCTGGACTACAGGTAGGAGGCCCAGAGTGCCCAGAGCTTTCGAGCACTTGAAAGGGTCTGTCACCCCTCACATATACTGTCACTCTGTTTAAACTGAAGAGGCTGTCAGAGCTGCCACAAACAGCCACCCAGGTAAGCATCATTTGTGGTAGCCCTGAAGTCACACTGGTACTTGTGGCAAGCTCCAAGGGTAACTGCACACAGTGCAGGTAGCTCCTCTGGTATATGTGACATAACACACCAGCAACACGGTTTTCTTCTAATAAGTGGTATTTACAGAAACAAAGAAACAAAAAAATCACATTTGTTAATCAAATTATAATCTTTAGTCCTAAACTATATCATTTGCATATACATTTACTTCTGTAAGTTTAAGTTCACTTAAAGAAAAAGGAATAAAAGGATCTACTAATAGAGACATTATATCTGCCTTGATCTTTACCTTCCCACTATTTATAAAATCTATCCTCTAATATAACACTGGCATTCATTTTGTTGTGAATGGCCAGGAAAATAGCTATATTTAATAAATTCTGATACCAGCCACAGATTTTTCATGATAAATATGATACCTCATTGAGCTTGGTCAGTGCACCAAGTTTTTGTTTGAATGTCAATTCAATTCTGTCTCATTCTAAAAGCTCTTGCATATTAACTTTGCAATTAAATGTTCAAGAATTTATATTTTTGCAACCATTTCAGGTATTATAATGGGGAATGCTTTATGCACACTTTACAGATTTAATAGCAAGTTAACAGACTATTAAAATCTATCTTTTTAACTTCCTACGTAAAACAACGACTTGGGGGCAAAAAGCCTATGATCTCCAGGACTTTAAAAGATTTTCCTTTGTTAAAAAAAGAATCTCTAACTAGTGGCCAAAAAGAACAGTGCTAAATCCAGATCCCAACATTCCTGTTCTAATGAGAGGCAATAAATCACAGCAGGGTGATCATAAAATTTGAGTTAGAAAACTTGGGTTCAAACCTGGCTCTGTCACTGACTGGCCATATGTGATACTGAACAAGGCAAGCTCCCTGGGGCTCAGTGTCTTCATTGGGAAAATGTAGGCCTGGACTATATGAACCCTCATGTCTCTTTAAATTTTGACAGTTTATGATTTTCATGGTTATTTCAGTATCCTGCCATTAGCCACCCTAACTATTCGGCACTAAGTGAAAGAACAGAATGTGCTTATGGGCTTGCCATATTTTGGCTGTGTACTGTGCGTGTTCATTTCTTCTATCATCCACAACAGATCCTTCCATGTCATGCATCAGCAGACAACCAGAAGGGTTTATTGAGCAAATCAGTAAGTACAAAAAGGGGGACATCTGATAAATAAATATATACTACTTATGGACACAGTATAGAATATCATTATATGAGAAATAACATTTATCTCCAAGGAAAAAAGACAAATCATCAGATGCCAAGAATAGTTTATGTTTTTAACATTTGTATTATATGCCTGAGAGGGGACTTCTTTAAGCCTTTCAAAGTAGTAAACGTTTTGACTGAGACATAATATATTTATCAGGCAGGTATTATGACAACTTTGTATGGCATGCTGCCCTGACTGTGCCTTTACTTACCAGGAAGGTTGTGCCACTTGTTGACGGCAAACAGCCTGTTAGCAGTGACGGTGATCACAGCAGGAGTTGCCAGCCCAGGCTGGGTGTTGGCCGCCACATGAGTGACGGGGGAGTTGGAGGGGAACTTTAGGACCATGATAACATCCTGCTGAGCTTGGTCTGTGAACATCAACGGACTCTGCAGGAGGAGATACTGTTGAGTGGGCAAGACAAGACCCAAATATACAAGAAGGAAAAGACAAGGAAAGACAAGGAAGAAAGAGGGTGCAGGAAAAGAAGAGGAAGACCACGTTAACACAGGTTGCAAGAGCTACCCAGTGAGCAGAAAGGCTTATAGAAACAGCATTTAGAATGTGTTTATTTTTCATGCAGGTCGTTAGTTGAATTTTTCAATGACTGAAGTAAAATACATTAACGGAAGCACTTTAAGAATCCATAAATTTTATGAACTCCCTTACCTACCCCATTCCCATGAAGAACTAAAAGAATGATCCAATTTAGATTTAAATAGGCGAAATATTTGGGATAGTGTCAAGCCATTCCAATTGCTACTGTGTGTTAAGCACACAAGTTAAAAAAGGAATGAGAGGAGGCAGTAGGTACAAAGCAAGCCGAGGTAACTTCCAAAGAACATCAAAAGTTGGGTTGCGTTAGCATGAAGATTTTGACAACTAAATAAAGAGGTAATTAATTTAAAAATATATTTATAAACAACAGTTGTACAGCATGCATGTATTATTACAGTAGAGAAATAATTTATGAACGCAATACACCAACTTAATTATAAAAGTGTTTCAAAGTAACATATAATTAAATGTACTTGTAAAAACAATATATTTATATAGTGTACCAAGTCATAAACACTGCCCTATTATAATGCAAATGCCACTGCTTTCTGCTCTAGCTAAGGATAAAGAGAAATCCCTAGCTAGAGGCCCCTCCTCCCTCTCACTAAAGAAACTAAAGCTCAAGACTTTTAATTTCTCCTTTGAAAAGCAGAAAGTAATTGAAAATGTTATACAAAATACTGTCTGTTCTAATCACTAGCAACAAAATAAATCTGGAAGACGACTAAGGATTTAGAACATTCCTACAAACCATACGTCATAACCCGAGACATATATAACACCACTCTGATTTATCGGCTTTATTTATACTTTGCGGCAGTGTGTCTGCTATCCTGCAGTAATTGCACTGTCCATTTTCAGCAGTTCTCTTCTACCATGTCTATTTTCTAATAGCTGATTAGTATCATTCAGAATTGAAACACTTTGATGAAGGACTTCTGGTGGCTTTCCTACTGCCATATTTCAAAACACCAGGTATATGGAAATGGGCAGCCACATATATTTAACAGATATTTATTCCGAACTGCTAATAAAAAATTAAATACATTTGCATTTTTATTATCAGTCCTTTTAAAAAAGTTATTAAGAGTACTTAGAAAAACATATTGCACTAAGAATTCCTATTTGCACTCTTTGCATAAAGGTGTAAATAAAGGCAACTAATAAGCTACCCAGACACCCTTCTGAGCAAGTGGCTAAAAGCCAATCAATATTATGAGTTAATCCTCCCTGGATGCTCATTCAATTAAAGGTGTCAGTAATGCCTCATCTGATGTGGCCTCAATTAAATCCAACTATCTGATGGTGTGAAAACACAGGGGGATACAGCAACAGCAGCAAAACCAGACAAATAGGCAGCCTTCATGTGCCTGCTAATTACTACACCTGGTGTATATTATGGCTCATGCACTTAACGCAGCACGAGGTGGCTTTAATCTCTGCAGTGTGTGTGCGCGCGCGCGTGTGTGTGTGTATGTTGGGGTGCAGTGACGGTTGATGGGGGCACTCATCTGAATGGTAGTAAACACAATTAATAAACATTTGGGGCCTTTGATTTTTAAAACCTCTGACATCAATAAGTAATCTTTGTCAAACAAAGAACCTTTTATACAGTTTTAAGGAATTCTGTAAAAATTGGGTGAAAATGAGAAACAATGAGCAACAATCAACAAAATATCCCACAAGTTAGCTGCGAAGACGTCCTGGGAAAAGGAAAGGAACGTCATCCTGGAACATCAAACCTTATTTTTCAATGGCGTAGGTTCTTTAAATAATATTTACTAAAGTCAATTTATAAACTCTGAGAAAGTCAGAGTACATCATACATCATGCAGTCTCACTGAAAGGAAGTTGATACATATTTCTGAGCTTAACAGCTCATACTGTAAATACAATCAGGCTCAAATTCAATAATTCCAATGTTTATGCCCTTAAAAAAACACAGAAAAATCTCTAACGTATAGGAAGAATGTTTTGTTTACACAGTGACTCTAGTGGGCCAACTCTTGGCCACATGGCAAGGACAAGCCCTTTTTGCAGAGAGAGCCGCAAACACCATGTCCAGAATGGTCCACCGCATCCTTCCAGGGCGCCTTCTCTCCAGGCTCCTCCAGCTCTCCCTCCTAAGCTCCCAGTGCAGACAAGCAGCAGGGCACTCCCTGGGGAGCTCCATCACACCCCTGGCTAAGAGGTGTGGAATAAGGAGCACTGGAAACAGGAAAAAGCACGGCCCAGCATACTGGGCTAGGCTAGGGAGACGGACGAGCAGGACAACTGGTCAAGTATGGGGGGGGAGGAGTAAAACACCCTCTTCGGTCTTGTGCCTCTGCGAGCCCCGCCTGGCGTAGAAGTAGGAAGCAGCCAGCCAGATTTCATTCGGTTTTCCCAGATTAAGCGCGCACTCGTTGACAACTCTGGTTTCTTTCTAACACACCTTTCTTTCCCACCCACGTACATGTAAGAGGAAAAACACCATTTGTACGAGTCTGAAAAGGAGTTCAGGTATTCGATTCTGAGGATAAAGACAATGGAGAAGACGGCCTCCCATCCTCCAGGGAGCATGTGCTTTCCCTGCCCTCCCAGCCCAGGGACGGCGGAGCTGATCTGCCTCGGTGAACCGATAATCCTTCCGCCGAGGACAGAGGGTTGGCGGTAGGAACTCCCTCTTGGCCCCAGTGACCAAGGCTGTGCAGTGACCCAGGTAGAAAGTCAATGGAGCAGTGGAGGTGCTTCCATTAGCCAGCCTGCGTCTCATCGACAGGCTATTACTAAAACTAATTCCAAACCCCAAACATAAATCATTCTTACTATTTTTATGGCATTATCTTCCATTGTTCTTGCTAAATCTGACTTCACCCGCTTAAAAACATTCAGGGGGAAAGGCAATGCAAATAATTTTTTAAACACTTGTAGTTTACAATAATGGCCAATTCATATAATTAGAGAAAGAAGAGGGGAACGACTTAGAAGAATAGATGACAAAGGGCTAAAGAGGAAAAGACACCAAGAAGAAGGAAAAATGAGAAGAGACAGGAAGAAACAAGCCAGGGCAGGAAGGCCCATGTCTGCACCCGCGGCCCTCCTCCCTGCTACTCTTTCCTTCCCAGCATCTCTCAAAACTGCACCATGCTAAGCCACAACAGGGAACCGGAATCTATTTTAAATTATTCATTATATTTATGGAAACCAATTTCATATTCCCTATTCTTAATTTAAAACAGTAACAAGCAGCCTGTTTTACTGAGGTTTACCTATAGCCTGTACCTTAAAAAAATTATTTTTATCACGCAATTCAGTATTTGTTACTATGCTGAATTTTTTTTTTGGATCATTAAAGAATATCCCTGCAGAGAAAAACTAGATTTG